GGGCCCGATTGGCGGGATGGGGCCCAGACAGAGGGACAAAAAAAAAAAAAAAAATGTTTTACAAATGTCATATCTACAATTTATTTCAATATTTATTAATTAACTAAAAATAGTGACGATGTTTATCTTAACCATAGACTGTTATACGTCACATTAACGCCAGCCCATCAGGTGCTGCGAAGCAAAAGCACGCAAAGAAGCACAGCTCGTAATGCAGGTGTGTGCGTTGTCGTCATCTATTTTGGAGTGATTGCAATGTATTCTAAATATAAACTTGTAGGCCTACTGTAGATCAGCGTCATTTCTAGAAAAATCATTCACCGCTTTATTACGAGTTTAAAAGAGCGCGAGCGTCATTAACGTGCCCAGACGCGACACTTTGAATTTGCACGTACAATGAATAACATCGCGTCGGGAGCTGACTAAAAACGCTACAAAAGTAAAAGACAAGACGTTTGTATTCAAAGTTAAAAACCCAACACACTACAACATTTTTAAATGTTTCAAATAAAGGATCTCATGGGTCTATCTTCTAAATTCTGCTGATGATTAGGCTAGATTATACCCTGTCTGACATCAGCCTACTCGCGCCAATAATATCAGTTTAGAATTTTTTTTTCTAATCAGTAGTGATCGTGTCTTTCTCTTCCACTTGATTTGTGTATAGCATATTTAAGCTAGCAATGCATAATATCATATTACTTATATTAATAATATGACAATATCTGCAGTCAATATTGATTAAATGGGAGGGGGAAATCCTGCCCATACCAGCTATGAAAAAATGATAAAAGCATATATCACTAAGTGGTATTCTGGAACTGTGAATAAATTGAATAAAACAGCAAAATAACAATAACAATAACATCTTCATTAAACAAAAAAGAGATTACCTTAGATGAAGTTTGATTAATATGTACATACAGTAGCCTACTGGTAAAAAGTCTGGACCAATTACTATTTTTAATGTTTTTGAAAGAAGTTTTTTATTATGCTCTACAAGCCTGCATTTATTTGATCAAAAAAAAAAAAAAAAAAAAAAGAAATTTTCAGCAAGGATGTGTTAAATATATAAAAAGTGATAGTGAAGACTTTTTTAAAACAACTTTTTAATAATAAAAAAAAAAACCTGAAAAAAAGTATCACAGGTTATAAAATAAATATTAAGCACCATTTCTAACATTTGATAATAAATCAGAATATTATAAAGTTTTCTGAAGGATCACATGACACTAAATTCAGCTTTGCATCCCAGAAATATATTTTAAAGTATAGTAAAATAGGAAAACCATTATTTTAATAATATTTCACTATATATTATTTTTCTGTATTTTTTATCAAATACATCCAGGCTTGATGAGCATAAGAGACTTCTTTCAAAAACATTAAAAATAGTAATGTGTCCAAACTTATGTACCGTGTAAGTAAAAACATTTAAAATTAAATGTTGTATAAATTAAAAGGTTAGGAATCATATTTTGTTTCAAGAGTTTTTTATTGGGGGTGGGGGGCCTCCAACAAGAATATTGCCTAGGGCCTCCAAATCTCTAGAACCGGCCCTGGGTGTAAATAACCAAAGAAGGTGCCAGACAGCTCAGTTTAAAATGTGATGCGCCTGCCATAATGCTTTTATTTTATATTTAATTTAATTGTATTATATACTTTTGCATCGGAGGTCTTCATATATTAACTTTCATATATTAACGTGTCTCAGATGCTTCACCAAAAATTCCTTTGAAGAAACAAACATTTTGTACTACAACATGTAAATAGCATATCTCATATCATTTGATTTTATCTATTGTGCATCCTTTATTCCCATTGCTGTCAAGGAGAAATGACTGAGATATTACAGAGGTCTCATTTGTTATTTATACCGGTTGCAGCTGCAATGCAGCAACTTCATGTGCAATTTATGTTCTGTGCAACTGTGTTGCATTTGGAAGCCAATAGAAAACATAGAGCACTGCCTGTAATGCTTTGCCTTATTGGCTCCTGTGAGTGTCTAGGGTTTGTCTGGTTCACAGGGGGGGAATATTCCTCTTGTGTGTATTGATTGGCCTGATGAGCTCGCTCTCTACTACTCCAGACACTTATTTGCTCCCATGTGTTTTGCCACTTTAATTAAACTCTTGATTTAATGCTCTCACTCCATTTCTCTCTTCACTTACAGTACAGTACATTGGGGGAGGAATGTGTGCGCATGTGCTTGTGTGTCTGTAGAACTATTTCAGAACCAGCTATGGAAAAGCAAGATCTTCTACCAAAAGCCCTGAACTACTGTACCATGAGATGACATTAAATAGTTATTGTTATGCTTGTGTTTAAACCTATGGAGGACTGTTTTATGGAGGAGTAAAACTCTATATCCACAACTTGACTTTATATCTTATAATTTGACTTTATATTTCGCAATTGTGACTTTGATTCTTTCTCACAGATGAAACTTTTTTTCTTGTAACTGCAACTTTATATCTCCCAATTCGACTTTATATTTCACAGCTTTACTTATCTCAAAATGACCTTTTTTTACTCTTAGGCAGAAACAGACTTCCATAGAAACCAAATCTTGTAAAGGATAAAAACTCAATTAAACTAAACCAAATAGAAAAGTATTTAAAACATTGGCTTAAATTACAACATAATGGAGCAAATTGGAATATTATCTGACTCTAAATGTACAATAAAAGAGACACAATGCTTAAGACTAACAATAGAAAGGTCATGAAAATATGGATTGACTATTTGGACATAGACTCGCCATACAGATACCTGGCTTAAAAAAATTGAACACAGTGTTGATACATCTCTCAAAGTAGTCAGAAACAGATTTACACACTTTCTCTATTTTGCGAACCATCACAAAGATTTCTATTCGAAATCTACAATAAATATACTTCCATCCCTTCCATGTGAAAGTGCAGAAAATACTGCAAGGTATGTGAGATCTGTCATAAAATAAGATGGACAACCCAAGGAAAACAAATACCAAATATCTGGACACATAAAATATAGAATGTCATATTCAAAGAAGCTTAACATTGATACCTTTTTCATATGTGTGAGTACATGTACCGTAATATTATTTGAGCCATCCTTCTTTATTATTCAAGATTCATTTGAGACAGGGCTGTAAATAATGGGGTGGAGAGTGGGAACTATTCTCAGGGTTCACCAGTCCAGACTGGTCACAACAATTATACTCTAGTAGGATTGATGTAGTATCTTGCAATTAATTCAGAGTATTTTACGTCAAATTACATCATTAAAGCATTAATCCAGAAATCATGCTTTGTGTGATGTATTTAAAGTCTCAATCTGTGGTTCTCAATCTGTGGTTCTCTCCATCCTCTCCAAAATAAATAGTTCAATCTTCCGCTCAGCTGCGCGTTCTGAAACTGAACAGATGAGAGTTCAGAAGGTCAAAGAGTCACATTCTCAGAAAAGAAAATATATGCACTAGAATAGAAAAGAAAGGAAGTAGAAGGAGGCAGTGTAGAGGCACAATGCATAACCACATTTTGTTCTGAGGAGTTTAAAAGAGCAGTCATATTAAAAGAACAGACCAATTAAGTTACTGCAGATATCGTACGAAAAAAATATTCTACTTTGTTATATTTTAATATTGGTGGGATCAGAAAATGAAACTTGATTCAAACTGTCACTCAATTATGTGTAACAAGGCAAATTTTCTGAGCATGTTCACTTGGCCATCACGTTGCAGAAGAGTTATTGATCCATAGCACAGTTTACACTCAGTGTATCCAGAATTCCTATCTAAAGCTAAATGCATTCAAGATGCAAGATAAATGTAGGTACAACTTTGGATTCATGTATTTCTCTCAGTGTACGGATTTATTGTGCATGATTTTTATCTCTTTGAGATTGAAATCAATCACTTGAGAAGCTGTATGAGCAAATAGTCTGTGTTTGCAGCATATATATGAGCGGCATTGACGTGAACTAACTAGCAATAGGGGATTGTGAAGGACCGCTGTGTAAGTAGTGTGCAAAACAAATGTTGCTGTGATTGAAATTTCATACAAAAGACACTAGATCAACGATAATCCCTTGTTTAAATGTATGTGTTGTTCCCTAATATCCCATCTGAAGAGGAAATCTTGTCACAGTAACATCCAGATGTGACCGTGAGTTGAGTCTTAATAAGAACACAGTGCATTCGGAAGAGTTGCTGTATCTTAAAACAGTTGGTCACCAGCATTTAAATGTGATGCAGTTTATTTTAACAATTCGTGTCTACCATGCATACTGAAACTTGCAAAGTTTTTTGGGGGGATTATTGTCATTCACATCAGGCCACCTCACACCAAGATATCAGAGTTAGTGCACACCCTCTGTCTGTTGCACATCCAATAATATCTCGCTTTCCAGAAATCCGAGGGTTCCCTGCTGCGTTACACTCATCATCACTTATTATCACTCTCTCAATAGAAACCGTTGCTATGGAAGCTGGTGACTCAGAGCTCATAGGAATATTAGGGAATGATATTCTAGTAGCTGACACTGTCATACCTAAATATGGATAATGCAGCATAGCGAGATCGAGCTTATAGAGCTCATACAAAAAGGAGGAATTTTCAATTAAAAGTATTCAACGGTGTTAAATCACGGTAAGAACTTGAGGAATGAGGTCAGATGTTAAGGAAAAAAATACATTGAAATTATAATTCAGGCTATATTGCTTCCGCCAACCTGCTCTATGTACTGTAGGTGACTTACTTTTACACACAGAAACACTTTTTGGATATTTAAACATGACAAATTCAGTGCCCTTCAAAACAGCTAAATTCATTCTTTTCAACATAAAAGGCTTAAGAGAAATGTGAAACAAACCCAAGGACTCATGGGATGGTTAGTTACACCTGATTGTGCTAAATTACCACAGTGACCCCTAGTGTTTTGTTTTAAAGCTTCATCAGTTGGAACAAGGTCAAAAACATCCTCTGAACTGAACAAATTTTTCTTTCTTTAATTAACAGATGCTTCAAGCCGGCAGAGCAGAAAGAGAGCTGTGACCTCCCCTTCCGTCTTCACGACTGACGATACTCCTGTGCACGCTTGGCTCCGATGCAGGAGTAAGTGACGACAACGACAAGAGAACGGCACAGTGTCCAGCAATGCTGTTTATATGGGTCAGCTGACACAGACAAGCAGGCCCATGTCGGTAGGAAATCGACACAATCTGCCTCAGCAGTGGATACACATACAGATTTATACAATACGGTCACACTGAATCAAAGAGATATTGACATACTAAATTAGTGTGGAGGCCATGTAAGGCTCGAAAATGCGGTAAAGAGTGGTCTTTGGACTGTGTGGAGCTTTGCAAAACGGGCTCCTCAGTCACCAGCATCGATGGACAACAGTTTGCACACCATGAACTAACCTTGCTACTTTTTGAAGGATACGATTTGTTCGTTTTTTTACTTCGATAAACAGATAGCACCATGGTTCTGCCGCCACCCGACAAGCGGCATGTGTGTTTAACCACCATTGTGATCATGACCAGCATGGCCTTCATGGATGCCTACCTTGTGGAGCAGAACCAGGGCCCACGCAAAATCGGCGTCTGCATCATCGTCCTGGTCGGAGATATTTGCTTTCTTATAGTGCTGCGTTATGTGGCGGTGTGGGTGGGTGCTGAGGTAAGGACTGCGAAGCGTGGCTACGCCATGATCCTCTGGTTCCTTTACATCTTCGTTCTGGAAATCAAGCTCTACTTCGTCTTCCAGAACTACAAGGCTGACCGTAAAAGTCTGGAGACGGTAGCTAGGAAAGCATTGACTTTGTTGCTATCGGTTTGCGTACCCGGACTGTACCTCGTCCTGGTCGCACTCGACAGCATGGAGTACGTAAGAACCTTCCGGAAGAAGGAGGACATGCGGGGTCGACTCTTCTGGGTGGCTCTTGACCTTCTGGATGTCCTGGACATCCAGGCTAACCTTTGGGAGCCACAGCGGACAGGTCTGCCAATCTGGGCCGAGGGTTTGATGTTCTTCTACTGCTACATCTTGCTGCTCATCCTGCCTTGTGTTTCTCTGAGCGAGATCAGCGTGCAGGGCGAGCACGTGTCGCCTCAGAAGATGATGCTCTACCCGGTCCTCAGCTTGGTGACCATCAACATAGTCACCATCCTCATCCGAGGTGTCAACATGGTTTTGTTCCAAGACAGCCGAGTCTCGACCATCTTCATCGGGAAGAATGTCGTTGCCATCGCCACTAAGGCCTGCACCTTCCTGGAGTACCGACGACAAGTTAAGGAGTTTCCCCCGCAAGATCCTGCTGGGATTGCAATGGAGATACAGCACAACTCTGTGCCACACAATCAAACTTTACCAAACGCCACGACCACCCTTCCAGAGGAGCCCTCACCGGCCCGTGAGGTCATTGACACGTGACCAGAGCTGACCAAAATGTCTAGACTTTAGTGTTAGGGGAAAGAAGAAAATCTTAGTTAGTTCAGACCAGGAAAAGATTAAGTATATTTCTTCTGGTCCTTTTACAACTGAGCAAGGAGTTCAGCCCTAAGTTTACTATTTTAAAGAATATTTTGTAAAGTGCTACTCATCTAGGCTAAGTGTTCAAATGCCATTGATGCTCAGATGCACAAATGGCAGCTCACAAGATCTTGATTTTAACCAGATTTTGTAATTTCAAGCAGCTGTTGTGATGTTAGATATGGGATGTTTTTAAAGAGATTTGTGTGGTGGTGGCTCACCTTGCTCCACACATGGAATCTGCACTGATTTCTGTAGAATCTGAATGCTTGTTATTTTCAAAGTTCTTCAAAGTTGCCCTGCCCCTTGTGTGTTCATTTATAACATATTTTGGCTAGTTTGAAAATGCTTTAAGCAATCAATCAAAATCCAGTACTCTCAGCCCACCATGTTTAAATCAATTTCACACAATTCTGCAGATTTTCCCTCGGAAATCTGTGCATAAAATCCCGCCTGGACTTGCTGATGAGTGAAAAATGAGAAACGAAACGTGCCAAGTTCAGAAGTTAAGTCCACTCGTCTTACCATAATCTGTAAACAGATCTGAGGCAAGACGTGAACTTCAAGTGAACTTCAAAGTATGTTTTCAAAAAAATATATTTTGTGTGTGTTAAGATGTGAGCATGTTTTAAAGCAAAACTACTCTCACAGGATTCTTTTCCTGGGGATTCAAATGGAAACTTTTAATTTGCCAAAATTACTTTTCAGCCTTTATAAGTTTTGTATGTGTGGGTGGATAGAATGGAGGAGAGGACGGAAGAGAGTTCATTAGAAAAAAAAACTGATAATATTGGATGATAATACATTAATTAATATACAATTCAGTCATGTTTTAAAGAGGATCATTGTATTATTATTATTATTATCTTGTTTCTTTTTTCTTTTAGCTGTGACATTTTAAATGTTGCAAAGTGTAATAAAACCTCCATAATCTTGAAACTGTGGTGTGTTTGACATTGACAGCTGAAATATGCAGATCGAGCTAACATTGAACTTCAGCACAAACACAAAACTCATAGTATTTACTCCCACACCCAGCCAACACTTGTGCCAGAACCGCTGAGAAACAGCAGGACTGGATGATTCTACATGAGCTTTGAGACGCAGTTCCACTTGGTGAGAATGGGGTGCAGAAAGCAATTTGGCTACTGCTGATTGGCTCTGGCTGCCATGTAGGCCAGCTGTAGGGAGTGATAAATTACAGTTCCTGTGATCCTCAGCCCTCTCATCCATCTCACCGTTATAGAGTTTCTATAGGCTTCCTCACCACGAGGCCTGAGCAGCAGGAAGATTTCCTATAGCACAGTTCTCAGTCCTAACAGAGATGCCATTTCTAGATGTGTTCCATAAGAGCAATAAATTGCACTTCTGAACTGACACCTGATATTTTTGACAACTGGAGATAAATGGTCAACTGTGTGAGTCAATCACTTTCTGCTGAAATGTATTACTCCCAACAAACAGCCTATAAATTATTTCTTGAATACATAACCATCCATACAGGATTCATGAGAAGATATTATTTAACAACCCCTCCAGGCACTATTTGCGAGACTTGACCTTTGTGAAGCCATTTCGAAAGGTAAAGGGAAAAAACATTATAAAATTCTAACAAATAACCTGAAGCAGCGATTCAGCTGTCGCAGTGTCTGCTGTCAGAGATTTCCTCATACTTAAAGCCTCTCCAATCAGTTGATTAATCGCCTGCTAGCTCGAGGCTAATGAGGTCATGAGGGTGTATTTAACCATGGCCCTATTTAATTTTCTGCTGTCAGAACATTAAAAATTCCATTTTAAGCACATCATAATTCGGCTTGGCGATAAATTACTAATATTATCATGGGAGGACCTATTCTCCTCTGACACACAGCTCAATTTACCAGCTTGGTTCACTTCACCTTTACAGTGCCTCAAACATCTATTTATCTAGATAATGTAATCTACTGTCAAACATGTAGGCAACCTGTTACCCTGTGTGTTTTCTAATACACTTTTCCTAGGCAAACTTTTAAATAGCCTTAACAATTTAGTCGATACTTTGATCTTTCTCTGTAACTGTATCTAGTTGTAATTAGAAATCTTTATGTTTAAGCATTATGTCATTTTATCACATAGCATTTAATCAATAAAATCAACTAACATATGTGAGCCGTGACATTGGATTCATGCAACAATAACTCTTATGAAACAATTAATTTTACTGAATAAGTCAAAATGTTTTTAAAAAAAGCTGTTACTGAGCTCAATATGATTCTCTCACTGAACAACTTGTAATTTTACAGTTAAGTCCGATTCGAAATGAACCAGGAACCGTTACACTGATTTATGTTATTTGTGATATTTGTATCAATCTATTCACTAATTGATTGTAAATTTGACAGCTTCTAAATAAAGTTTGCTGGTATTTTACAATAAATGAACTGAAACTAATACACTGAAGAACTTTTACCGTTTCGGGGTAAAGCAAAGTGCCATATGAAATCTATTATGGCAGCTTATATTATGTGAATCCCATTCAGGCAAATTGCTCAAACAGTCATGCAGATTGTTTTCAGGTGTTTATTCAAATCAAGATCAGACCAACAAACACATCATGCATTTTCCTTATTCAAAGATCATCTAAAAAGAAAGAAAAGAAAGCACCTTTATCTACATTCAGATTTTTGAAAGGGATAGATCACCCAAAAATAAGTTCTCATCATTTACTTACCATCATGTCATTCCAACCCCGTATGATTTACTTTTTTGTTGAGGAAAAAAAGCATCTGAAGCATTGTACTATATATATCTACTTTTGTGTTCCATGCAGAAAAATAATATGGGATTAAAATGAGTATATGATGAGAGCATTTTTGGTTGAACTAACCCTTTAATTCGGTTACATTATCTCATGTAGTGATGATCAAATGCTTTTTTCTCCCACATAAAACACGTTTTTCTAAATATTTAATATATTTACAATTACATAACATAATAACTACTTTGAATTAACTACTAAGAGTTTCTGCATATAGGAATTGAGCCATTTCTGTCTTTCCATTGCTGTCAAAAGCTTGCTCTTTTCTCTAAATGCAGCGTCATCTGCCACCACTATGTTTCTCTTCTCCTGGTGACCCACCCGTGAAGGCCAGTTGCCCAGCCAGCCCTTCACCAGCTCCTCCTCCATCTGTGATTGGCTGAGCGGAAGCCAATCATCCCCCTCCAGCTGTTCTGTCCCAGCCTTAGCTGCTCCAAAATCTGGGGCGCTCAGCATCTGAATGCTCCAATCACGGAGCGAGATGGAGGGGAACAGCACTTCCCACTGTTCACCTTTGGAATCCTCTTGACCAATAGCAGGCAAGTTACTGTTTAGAAGAGAGAGATGTGTAAGAAATGTGTCCAGCGAGCTAGACAAGCATGAAATGATAACTCTAAATGGACAATGAAACATGGTTTATAATTTTGTTACAGAGCATCTGTTTTAATTTTTTTTACACCTATAATTCGGGCTGCAATTTCTAGAACTCTATTAAATGTAGCCAGTTTATAAATGCTATCTCCAAAAATGACAAATAAAGGTTTAGCAGAACTTCTAGTACTTTTCTATGTAAAAAATTCTATGTTAGGAGAAAGACTTCCGTGTGAAATTTTAAGTCTAGCTCAAATGAATGTGTGTTTGATGTGTTGAATTTAGCTAATTTAACCACTAGTTTATAAATAACCACACATCTAATTTATCCCATAATGAAATAAAATGCTATTCAAAACAAACTCTTCATGCATGCAGAATTTGGTGAGTTTTCACCTAAGGGATACAAGGCTACAGCTGTTCAAATTGAGGTATAACAACAACAACAACAACAACAACAACAACAGCAACAGCGAGGATGATAATAATAAATCTCCTATTTTTAAGGAACAGTTATACCTTTGCAGAGGTCGAAGTTGAGGCTGGGGAAACGCAGATGTCATCAGAGTCACACTCATGAGGACTAAGAACAACAGGGCAGGACGAGGAGGCAAGGATAAAGCCACCATCTACAGATAAATATGTTGACCAAGACATAATATTAGAAAACTGTTTCTGTACAGATAAGAGACGGAGAGGATATACATGCGCAACATTTAAAATGTAGATATTGAATGTAATTTACGAGGGATGCTGACTATTGCCAGAAGATAATTCTGACTACAGGCAACTTTGAAATTAAACTCAGCCAATCAGAAGTATATTTCAGATGTCTATACATTATTTACACCCTTTCATTCACTTACATTATACAGCAGTACTTCAGAACAGACCAAAAAGGTACATATTAATAATATTAATTTTAACTTATTTTCTCATTTCTATCTGCTTTGCAATATATTTCAAAATGATAAAATCTGAATGAATAAAAAAAGTTTCCACCTGAAGGAAAGGAAAAACCTGTTTTGTTACAAAATTTTGTAAAAAATCAATAGATTTTTTTATTGTAGTAAAATGGTAATACATTATTATTAAATTAACATGCATATTGTTTAGTAATAGACAGTATTTTAATATATATTTGGTAACGCTGCCTTTTACAGTCCTGTTACCCATGTACTTACTATGTACTTATTATAGTAACTATAATTACTGGGTAATAACTAGGTACTAACCCTGAACCTACCCCTAACCCATGTACTTACCTTATATTAGCCAGCACTTTATAGGTAAGTACACTGTAAGTACGTAAGTACTGTACTGTAAAAGGAAGCGTTACCATATATTTATGTATTCATGTATACTTGAAAATATTATGATTAGCAATTATAGTTAAATTAATTTGGATGTTTATGGTACCTTTGTGGAGTAGTTCTTCCTCTTGGCGGTGTGTTGCTGTGGTGAAGTTTTTTGTCTCCAGTGTGTGGAGTCAAAAATCCAATCAGTCTTGTGTGACTCCAAGCTGGTTTGCAAATCTTCCATGCAATGTCTCAAAGAGGTTTGTGATTGTCCAATATTTCTGTCTAACGCTCTAGCCAAGTAATTAATCGTTGAGAAGTTTCCGATGGTTCCTCTTTATATGTATTGCTTTATCAACTTCTCTGGTTGTAGCTCTACCTCCAAACTCTATTGTGCATTGTCAAGTGCCAGTGTGAATATATACAGGATTTGGTTGTGTGGGATTATATATACCTCTCTTTTTGTCAGAAGTTGTAGGGGGAAACAGAAAAGATAAAAAGGCATGTGTCATTCTCCTTGTTGAAAAGGAAACCGAGCTGAAACAGAGAAGGCCACACCCCTGAATGTCCTGTTTGGATGGAGCCTTAAAATAGAGGAAAGAATCAGAGGAGAAAAGACAACTGTTTGGACGTCAGAACACCTTAATGATGTCTCAAAAAAGGAAAAGGATAAATCTGGAAAGTGCCACATGATCATGATCAAAACTAGTTGTTCCAGCGTTTCCGTACTATGGCATATAATAACCTTGACTCAAGCGCGTGACCTACCTTTCACTGGGCGTAACCTATAGGATCATGAGTTACAAGATAAGGGTCGATAATGAGGATCCCGAACCGAATTTGAAGTGACATGCTTGCTGTCCTCATGGAGCCCACGCACACGTTTGGATTCTAGGCCAAGCAAAACGTCACTCTCATTAAATTTGAAAGGTCTTGTCAAACACACTGAATCCCCCACAAGACAATTTGTCGCATTTTACGCAACCACATGTAGGTTTTTGCTTCAGAAACACTCAACACAATCTGACAACTGCTAAAACAGTCATGTGCAGACAAAACTGCTTTTCATACATAAGGAGCATCTTCTTTTCTAATAAAAATGATTGCATATTTCATTGTTATTCAATGTAAACATTCATCAGACCGTGGAAAAAACACGCATTCAACTTATAGGTGACATCCGGCGAAAGAAAACACTCATTTTCATTCAGCACAGGGAGGCTTGTTACGGAAGCTGACTTTAGCTAGGTCTCATTTAAAATAATGGCCAGCGGTTTTGAGTGCAAGGTTCAGACAAGCAGGTCCTGACAGTCATTATAGTAAGAGCACGACAACAGCGACATGGACCGGTCGCGTCGGACATGAGTGGAGGGACAAGAATGAAAGCATCAGGGCGTGAGGCAGATGAGGTCAGGGGATTCAGCGGCGAGAGGCTGAAGAAATGATCTGAAGCGTTTAGTCAACTCTGGCCTCAATTTTGGTTGTAATCCATAGATCTGCAAGTTTTAACATCCACCGTCAACCGCCAGCGTGAGTCATGAGCTCTTTTTACACAAGCAAGCACTCTCTCTTCTCTCTTATTCCTCACCTCCTTGTCTTTCATATCCTCATACAAACCTCTGGATGTTTCGTGCTCACAAACTGTGAAAAATCTCAGAGTAAACTTTACTTAAAGGCCATCTGTTCATACAAATGAAGAGAGATTTTTCGGAGTGTTTATTATTGTAAAAGTAAATTCTAAACTCTATAGGACATAATTAGCACTAATTTTATCAGGCTAATTTTAATAAACACTGTTATCACAAGATGCACTGTAGCTATCTACCAAAACATTAATATGTACAGTACTTGTTCTGAACATATCTGAATATAAATAAATATTCTGAACTTTCAAGAGGGGAATGTGAGTGACGGGTGGAACATTTTAAAAATGGCTCCTGCTTTTCCTATTATCAAGGTTATGATAACATTCCTATCATTAGCATTCTACAGCCAACATAGAAAGATGTTTTTGGCTGCCAGATTATGTAAGTGATCCACAAGCAGGTGCTAACAGCAGTCATCTTAACAAGCCAAACCTTGAGCCCCCCTGAGACAATAATATGGTCTACTGTTCTTTCTAAAAGTCTATAATATAATAGTAAAATATGTAGTAAAAACAGTCTATTATGTACAGTAATGTACATTAAGCACCCATTAAAAGGAAGTCAGCCAGACAGGTTATGGTCATTTCAGGGATGTAATTTGCCATTTATGATCATGTGATCGTGGGTGGCACATTTGTAGGATTCATTCATGAAAGCTGATGTAATTCTTTTTAGATTCTGTGTGAGATTTAAACTGTGAATCCCAACAGGAAATGTGTATTATATTATAAACTTGAATTGAAGACACAACGAGACTATAATGGAACGGTCAAAGCCGGTCAGTTTACACATTAGAGAGAGCAAGTTGACTGTAAGTCTGCACCAGTATACACATGTATCTTTATCTGTTATAGACTTCGGCAGATCATTCGTTTTGCTTAAAGTCCCTGTAAAGGCAATTTCAAAAAAAAATTCTAAACACATTATAAATGTTAGAAATGTATTGCTAAAACATATTACAAAGACTGTGAACTGTGAAGTACTGAATTGTGGAGTTAGACCGTTAAACAGTTTTTCACCATTGCTATTTTCCGGATTTTCTGTGCGGGGCTAAAACCATAGACAGTAAAAGAAATGGACAGAGCGATCTCATTGGAACTCAGTTGAGACAGTTGAAGCCCACTTTTAGCGATTTTTGAGCACTTTCGTTCCTGACGCGCAGACTCAGACCGACTCAAACTAAGCTTGATGACGTGAGCAACCTGTCTGACAGACGTGAATCTTCTAGTAACTGTGCGTGAAAATTGCCAACGTTAATCTTGCAGAGACGGGGAACTTGAGCAAAGAGTTCTTTGGCGTGAGTGAGCAGGAGTAAGTATTCCTCTGCTTTTATGGACTCATTATCTATGGGCTTCTCCCTTGACGGGACGTCCCCCCGATCGCCTGCGAGCTTCTCCTCCTGTCTGTACGGTAACTTCTGTACAGCGCGACAGAGAGTCGAGTGGTTATGACGCAATCGTTAGCCTATTTTTACTAAATCTGTTTCTACGGGGCCATAATGTAACATAGAAGGTAATGGAGTCTTTTATACATTGTCGTGTTTCTTTAGAAATAAATAATGGACAAATGGAGTCTTTAAACGCCTCAGATGTAAAGTTATTCGCTGTCAAAGTGACGCCAAAATGAATGGGAGTCAATGGAAATGCTAACGCAAGTGAAGTTCTGCTACAACATGGCGGCACCCGGCCGGCTTCAACTTCCGGTCGATGGATTACCCCCTTGGCTAAAACAGGGCTCGATGACGCACTGGAGCCCCTGAGCTCCTGGACACGCCCCTACTTAATGACGCACTGGAGCCGCTGAGGCTGGCCGCTCCTAACAATATTATAGAGCACATTCACATCAGTTTGCCGCTCAATCGCGAGTTACTGTCAGTACTATTAGTAACACAGCCTACAGATTGCTAGCTATGCCTTCGTCACGGAAATGCGTACTACCTGGATGCGATCACCGGATCACGTACAAAACAGATCGGTGTCCTTATTTAAATTTCCGAAAAACGATTACATCAAGAAGAGGTGGATTAATTTTGTGAAGAGCCAACCTTGATGGAGAGCTGAGGATCACCGCCAAAACCCGCCTCTGTAAGTGATCATTTTACACGGGATAGTTTTATAAACTTTCGTCGGAGATAACTGTCTGGGATTCACTGATAATCCGCTGTTACTGGTGAATGGGGCCGAACCGACTCCCGCCTCAGCCTTCATCCTCCCGTCGCGCCGACAACTGGTGCCATCATCGGCAGTGCGTGCCCACCGTGCGAGCATCCATTCCGGCTGTAGAGTTGAGTGTGGACGGCAGCTTTCCCGCGAGTGGGCGTGGTTTCAGCGCAGCCAATGGACACGCCCCCAGCGTTTGAGAGCAGAGATTACTGCTAATTTTTTCAAGATTTTGATAGCTTATTTTATGTACTTGCTGGCTTTTTTTATCATTCAAATTTGGCTGGGTGACTAATAACAAATTTTTCTGTGGTGTGACAAACTCAAAACACATACTTAATTTTGACTTTACAGGGACTTTAACTAATAGGCTACAATACAACAAGACGAAGGCATCAGCTAACACGACATTAAAAAGTTACCATAGTTTAAAAACCTGTAATATTGAGTTATAAAAAAACAATAAAAAACACACACACACACAAACCAACACATTCTCACCTGTGAAATGTTACCCATTTCTGTGGGAATTTAAGTCTCAGCGGTTTCAAGACCCGCAGCTGGCCAATATTGTGACATAGGCCTACACAATTCTCAATTCACTACGCCCTAAAAGTATGTAGGCCTACTCTTTTTGTGAAGAAAAAGTAGATACTTTTGAGTGTGTAGCAAAAGAGTAGCCCTACACAAGCTTTGTGATATCATCACGTCATACAATTGCGTCTTTAACGGTTGCTCTCTGTCGCATCCTGTCACAGTAAACTGGCCTGTCAATCATCTTGTCACAGTTAAAATCCTCCACATTTCATTTCATTTCCTACCTTCTCGGAGAGAAATCCAGTAGCACATTGATCTGCAGTCGCAGGTCTTTCATGCACAGAACTCTCCTCATTTGAATGCATTATGATGCATTTGAAAGTTAATGCCCAAACGGATCTTTATAAAAGTCCACATGTTATTTCAAATGAAATATAACATCTGTTATATTTATAATTCTGATAACGTTAAATAAATATTTTTATCAGGTTAAACTTTCTCAACCCTTTATCTAAACCTCTCACCGTCGGTCGCGCACACAGGGTCGCTCATATCCGCCATGTTTTGTAGTTTTTTTAGCACTTTTTACTCTGTTTACTTTTTTAACACTGTTTGTAGTTCCTCCTCCAAAGCAATGGGTTGTGGGCACCAATCCACACTTCAAAAAACTACCGGAAATCCAAAAAACTTTTGACATAGACTCTTTTCAACAAACAAATACAATGCTTTGGGACACACTTATTCTCACATACTATTTAGGATGGATATGGATATTGGGATGCAGATGCAGGGTAAGCAAAGAGTAAGCAAAAAATAT